CAAGGAGAATAAGTTTTTATCAATTTGTGTCTTTATATATGGGAGCATATAAGTTCTCCTCTGACACTTTGAAAGCTTTGTGTCTCCTACTTAACGAACGAACAACAGCTTTATGCCAGAGGAACGTCAGAAGCCTTTCAGTTTTGTCAGCTCGCTCACAGGTACTGCTACGACAGGAAAAATGAAAATTGAAATTTGAGCCTCATCTTGTGAGCTTTGTTCCTGAGCTCAATTATTTACCACTTCCTTCCTTCCTTCCTTCCCTGTGATTGTTTTGCTCCTGCCGGTTGCAGATGCTTGTTTCAGGAAGAGACGGATGGTTCCGATTCAAAAGCAGTCTTCTCTTTCTGCCTATTCAGTCTCACTGTGGCCCCCTGTCTATTAATAGAGACAGTCAGACCAATGAAACCAGTGGTTCGGTTGAAAACGGGGCCTCTGTGCCTTGTGAACACTTTGCTGTTATGCAATAACAAACACAGGGGCAAAAGGAGATAATTCTACTGCAAAGGAAACGATCAGCTGGAGACATACGAGAGCTCTGTGAAAAAAGTTTAAAAAGGCTAAATCTTAAACATTTCTCCAGATGCCAAAAAAAACATTGAGAAGCTGCCCAAACGAATCAGTGACTCATCAACATACTAATTACTGGCCCACAGTGTGCGTCTAGGCTTACGATGTGCCACTGCTTAAATGTCAAATACAATATCAGTGGGGTATACAGACACTCTCTGGCACAGTGATTAAAACTTGTAAAGGTGCCAAAAAACAGACGGAAGGGGCTGTGACTTTGACTCTTCGAGCCTGGCAAAAGATTTTTCAGTTTCCTTTTCACTTACTTTTGGTTGACTGTTGTAAGGAAGACTTTCCACCAGTAACTTGAAAATCTCCTCAATCTCCTCAGGCTTCTTACTGCCAGATAATACCTTAGTGTGTGTGTGTACTCAACCCAGTAAAGCACTGGCCTTTCAGACACCCTCTGTGCATTGCTGCTACTGTTATGATTAACTGAATTCATTGTCCAAATCCACCACCTCAGTAATGTCCACTGACTGCTGTGCCAGTCTGAGTGCGAGGCTCAACTGGCCACATGTGAATACAGGACTGGGGAAGAAAAACCCCAACTTCTTTTCTTTTTCCTGTCATGGTTAGAAAGCGCAAGCAAATTGGAACCATTAAATTTAGTGGGAAGACCCCAGGGTAGAGTTTCCAGCATAACAACTGTTTGCTGCGTGGCAGTTCAATAAAAAAAATAGAACACATGGAGAAGAAACTAGATACTAAAACCTAACTGTGTATCTGAATAAGACTCTTGCTTGTAACTTTATTAGATACAGCAGAGGGAGTGTTGGGTCTAATGTGCGTGTAAATTAATGGCCATGCCACTGAGAGATTATGATTTAGGTTAGTTGGCTGTGTCATACCAGTTAATTGGGTGCAATGCAGTGATAGTGGGCAGTAAATGGCAGTTAGTTTCTACTGCCACCTACTGGCGCACCACAAAACCTCAATGCCATGATTAGGAACAATTTAACCTTAATGCTTTTGATGCTGTAAAAGCTCTGTGAATAACACACCTTAACTAAATCATTTAAATGTTAAACTGAGCTGCAGGTTTACAACAGAAAAGTGCCTCAGAAGCTCTGAGCTTATGCTTGTTTTTGTCATGCACCAGCTGCAGTGTGACGGTGTGCCAACAATTCAGAAGATATCATGGGATTTCTTTACAGTGAATATGAATTATACTCATTCATATTCCCTCAAAAATAAATCTCTTCTTCAATTAATTACCAATCATCCAGTAAAAGGCGAAGAAGAATACAAAGCAGTATAGTAAGGTGTTGTGCCTCGAATCTACTGTAACTGCCCAGCCCTCTAAAATGTGATTCACAGGCCCTTCTGCAGGGATTATAGATGTACCTGTATGCTCTCACCGAGCCTGCAAATCAAACGTACACATTTCTGGACAGCTGAGGAGGCTGTATTTTCATTTCCTTCTCTCCTCCATATACTACAGCTCTGCTGCAACATAAACCCCTCAAGTCTGTGCTTCTGAATCAGAAAGATTTTATTTTGAATTTCCTCTCTCATCGATTTTCCTGTACATATTCTTTTACCATCAACGGAACTTTTTGAGAAGGTTCACATCCAGAGCTATTTTTCCAAGCTGCCTTAAGTCCCTCCCCCCCTGCTCATCAACACTGCATCCTCTAAACCCTCTCGGATTATGGTGAACATCTGTCTCCATGCAAGTCCACCTCAATCACGCTCAGCTTTATCCCATCATCCCTCCTCCACATCATCACTGACCTGCTTCGTCTCATGACAACTTCAAACTTTCAAACCAAGAAAGTCTTCCTCCATCCAATCCAGTCACCCAGATTTCCACCCATTCAGTGGTTACAGCAAAAGGAGTTAATTATTCTCTTTGTCGTGTTTGATAAAAAGCTCTTTTGTGTTTGTATTTTGGACAGTTGGTCGTATAAAACAAGACATTAAATGCGTCATGGTGGGCTCTGGGAAATTATAATGTGCATTACTCACTGTCTTATGATATTGTATGGACTAGAGCTTGGTTGAATACTGGATCAACAGGAAAATAATAAGCAACTATTTTGATAATTGATCACTTCCTAATTTAAACCTTAAAATATTGATGGTTTTTCTGCTTTTCTGTCTCAATTTAGACATTTTCTGGCTTTTATTTATTTAAGATCAGTTAAAGTTTTAATACATTGCTTTGTGTTCTGATAACATTTAATAGACACTTGTATTAGTGTTGACATTTTAAAAGCTAAATGATTCATTCATCAAAAAAAATACAATCACTATTCACTGATAATTAAAATGATTGTCAGCTGCTCCCCCACAGTGTAACATGCTCTGCTGGCTTCAGAGAGGCTTTTAGTAGTGAGACTCCAGGTTGTTACTGAATTCTCTTTCCCCTCCAAGGTTTCTCCTCCTCGTCTTCATCGCTCATCCTGTCCACCGTCTTAGACGCTGTCAACCAACACATGGTCTTTGCTGCCCTCGCTGACCTGAAGACCGCTGAATCCGCACTCTCATGGTTCATTTATCAGCCATGGCTGAGGAGGACTCTGTCCCCATAGTGGATCTTAAGCAGCAGGATTCTCCAGGGCTGAGTTTTAGCTCCAATCTTCTTCTATCTTTACAACAGCTTGACGCTGTCAGCAGCACTGCTTAAGCATGAATGCTGCCTTTTTTTCTGCCCTCTGACACTCAGGCTCAATATTCTGCTTCACCTGACAACTTCAGTTAGATGCCTTCCCACCGCCTCAGCACGGCCCAGGACTCGTAAGAGGACCAAGCTGCTCTTTTTCCGGGGGAAAAAATCGTTCCCTTGGCAAAATCTCTCCAGCACCATTGACAACAACACGCTGACTCTTCCTGCCCACAATCTTAGTGTGTTTCAGCACAACCAACTGTCATGGAAGCCACATATGACATGACTGTAATTCCCTCCTGGCTCTGCTCCCAAAATACTCTCATCAGCACGACACATCATCCAAGTGTGACAACGCGCCATGTTTTCACCCTTCCCAAATTCTGCCATCAAACCCTATTTGCTGAAATCTTAGCACCTATTTCAAAATATTCCTCACACTTTTTCTTTTACGTGACTATTCTGGGCTCACAGGAATAATGTTAGGACATCTTTTTGACTCCAGCACTTGCACCTCTTATGATGGGGCTGGATGAAATATTGGTAAAAAAGGAAATTTAAACTTTTATTGCTGTATTCCCAGAGCCAAAGGAGACAATTTCAAACTACCTACATTGACCGACCAACAGTTTAAAGCCAAAGATGTTACATTAATAATGATATAAAACAGATAAAATACTCTCACTTGAGAATATGGAAGCAGTAAATGTTTGGTGTTTTTACGATTCATCGTAGAACATGTTGTTGGTTAATTGTTTCAACATTACCTTAACATGCAAATACAATTGATTAAAAAGTATTTAATGAATATTTACAAGTACTGATGTTGGGGATGCACGGTATAGATGATTACTTGCTTTTTATGGCCCATAAGATAACTGATAATTTCACATTTTTGTTGTTGTTCATGCAAACTTGATGGTAAGAAAGGCAAAGATGTTGTGAGTTAAGACTGATTACTTAATATTCAACAACATCAAATGTTCATAATGTTTTCTAGTAAAACTGAATTAATTTGGCTTTAATAGAACAAATATCCATCAAAATGAATAATAATAATAATAATATTATTATTATTATTCATTTTAATAATAATAATAATAATAATAATATTATTATTATTCATTTTAATAATAATAATAATTATTATTATTATTATTATTATTATTATTATTATGTGTCTATAGTTCAATTATCAGAATAATACATACAAATATAAATTCCCGTTATTAACCACTGATTTAAGGGCAATGATAATTACTGTGCATCCTTAACTGATAATAGTAATCATCAGTTAAGTAAAGTAATGTCAGTTGCATTACTGTTATTTAGTGATTAGATAACATTGTCCAACTATACACTGATTCCAGGATAAACAAATTTACAAACTACTAAATCAGGCCGTTCATCTTTCTGTCACTACCTAATGAAGGCATAAAATATCCAATAAGTAATTTATATTTTACAAAATCCGGTTAGGGCTTCACAATTAATTGGAATATATAATATAATATCCAAAAATAATGAAGGACTAACAAGTTTGTAAGTAACAAACAAACATCTTAAATCTGGACAACAAGGCATCTCAGGTAGTGCTGCTGCCCAGATTAAAGATGTTTGTTTGGTAAAGACCCCCCAAAAATCATGATTTTAATAGTTTTAGAAAATAAGTAATTTAATTTGTGATGCAAAAACGATCATTCCCACTAATGGTGAATCACATCTCAATATAATGTTTTACCGCATCGTGCAGTTTGAAGTTAACTTAAACTTTAACATCTTTACTGAAAACAGACATTGAACAGCACATAAGTCAAATGTTAAGAGTTTTCCAAAAGTTTGATCCCTCCAAGTGTTCATCCACCTTTGACTGAAGCGTTCCTCTCTTGGCCACAGCAAAGTGCTGAACTTCATTTAAGGTTTGTGATATAGACTCTCGCTGATGTCAATGGAGTGGATGAAACGTCTCTCAGTATAACACAACGCAGTGAAACAGCATCACAAACTGCAGCCTCTGAAATGATCGTTCAGTCGATTCAGCGCCTCTAAAACAGGTCCAACAGCACCAGAATATTAGGATTTACTGCGAGGCTCTTGTGTTGCACTGCATTAGCTTCAGCTTGGTGGACCTAATATACTGGACAGTGAGGGTCGATCAACGTTCACCTGACCACTAATGTTTATACCAGCTGTTATTCCTGTTTTAGGAAACTAAAACTAAACTAAAGAGAAAGACAGGAAGTCAGAAAGACGGACTAACACAGTGTCGGCTTTGGGCTTTTTATGGGATATATAGGAAAAATATAGAATAAAACCAGCCTTTTTAAAGAATCATTATAGGTTGAATCAGCGTTTCCCAAACTTAGGATCACAATCCAAATGGGTCTACAACTCGTTTTTACTAAAATTGCTAGTTGGCAATTAGATAACGGTTGAGTAAAATAGATAACAATACTTTGTAATATTAACTTTTTTCATAGTGCAAGTTTGTAATAAGGTGGTAAAAAACTTAAAAATGTGATTATTGTGATGTACTTTTACAATGAAATAAATAGATTTCATATATACATTTTAAATGTTTTTATTGTTTTCTTTATCAGCAGCCTGTAAATGTCAATTAATGATGTATTTTTGTACGTTTTGTATTAAAGTGATGTGTCTACCGGCTGTTTCTGATATTAAATCAATGCAGTTTTGCATTAAAAGTGAGATTTAAAACTTGAATTTGTGAAATATATCTATTTATTCTCCGCTTCCTGCCCATTAAAGACCAGACTGGTGTCCATGAGCAGGGGGGGGGGACACACTGGAGGCGGACACACTTGATAACAATGATACCTGAGTGACATCCTCACCTTGATCCTGGGCATGGTGACAGTCGGAGGTCTCGCCTTGGCCACAAAGCTTTGCGAGGAGCCTCTTTCCACCACATGTCTGGTGTAGGGCATGTACCTGCGACCACTGGGGCCAAACACAAAGTCCTCCCGGAGGGCGTCCACCAGCATTACCACCACCCTTTTAAAGAGGGGCTGTGGGAGGCGAGAGCCGTTGGGAGACCTCCCTGTAATTAAATAAACACACACGTCGTGAGTTTTTATTCTAAAATGATGTCCCTCCCCGATTTCTGGAAAACATGAATTGTATAAATTGAATGGAACAAATAATGTTTGTTGGGTCAGCTTGTGTTGTGTTCATTGTGCTCTGTTTACCAGCATAACTGGCATTGTAAAAACTTGATCAGTTAGTTTACACAACTTG